CAGCCTGGGCTGCCAACGCCCTCAACTCGGCTTCGCCACTTGCGTGGAACGCCTTCAAAACTTCGTCTGCCGCCGCAAGTTCGGGCGCCTGCGAACGCGTCGTGGTTGCGCATTGCCAGCTGGCCCATGCGCACCAAACACAGGTCACAAGAGCCGTTCCCAACAGCAGGCCCAACGCAAACCACCCCCAGGCCAGCGGCCAAGGTCCAAACCAGCCGCATAGTAGGCCGGCTCCGCTGCCTGTTTGCACGTCGGCGGCAGCAGGGCGAGGGCCGGCACGGCTCCTTGAGCCAGCCGCACCGCCCATTGCCCGCCCGTCAGAAGAGCGTGCACTGCTGTTTCCATACAGCACGGGCCGCAGAACGCCTCCCGCGTTGGGAGGTATGGACAGCCTTGGAAAGTAGTTCTTGAGCCTTGAGCCAAAATGGCTTGAGCCAAACTGGCTACGGATCGTGCTGTGCAAAAACGTTGGAGCGAATGATTTTGAACCGCGTGCGTCCCAATATTAACCCTCGGTTGGAAAGTCAAGCTTGTTTTAGATGGGGTGCTGATACTCCGGCATATGCCTTGCTTGAAACGCTTACATTGCGCAAAATTGGCTGGCCCGACAAAATCTGCAATCATGGTGTTTGGCAACATTTTTGGGCGGCCTTGCGATGTTGCGGCCAAGAACCCGATAGCTGGGGACGTCGTCGTTGGGCGCTGTTCCCGGTTTGTGCATGTGACAGAAATTTTGCTTCGTCTGGATACAAGGAGTGACACCAAACGTATAAAACCAAGGGTGTACACACACAAGTGCCAGGACATGTGAGCGCCAGCAACGTTGCATATGGCAAACCAGCGCACTGGGCACCAGCATCAATGCCGGACATGGTGGTTTCTAGGAGATTTTCCTGACCTTCAAAGGATAACATGGTAATTACCGAAGGTAAGGTGCTTAACCATGCTGAGGTCTTGGATGGAACTGCTGACTATAATATTCTGCATCAACAAATCCCGCTGTTGCTTGCAGATGTCGAGCACGGTCAACGGGTCAGGATGGCCAGGACCGTGGGATCGCAAGCACTTGGACATGAGGGCATCAATTTGCGAATCCTTCAGCACCGGAATCGTTGAGCAGCCAATCTGTGTAATTTGATCTTATGAACATAAAGGACTCCACGAAAGCCGTTCGTGCAAAGAGACGCCTGCAAGACTGTAACCCCGCACACGATGCAGCTTGAGCTTGGATTCCACATGCCAAGACTCCGGTATACTCCGAGAAAGACGAGAAACGCACCCTCGACACCAAACGCCTTCTGGAAGTGAGAAAATGAGGACGGCTACCCTGGCGTAACTGAAGGGTTTCACATGAAGTAAAACAACGCCTGAAGAAAAATTATGACATCGGACACCTAGTGATGCGATTCAGAAATGTTCCAAATCCAGCTTGCATGTGTTTGTCAGCAAAACATGACGCGAATGTTCTGAGAGCTACTCGTCAGTCCCAGCACCTTACGGTTTGGGCACGGCTGGCTGCGTGCAACATCGAACATTCTGAAAAAAAGACATATTAAAGTCACCGGCATTTGTGGGAGCTTTCTTCCCCCGAGAGCTGATGCAGCTGCCTGACAGAAACGCGAACGCCACGGAACCGCGCATTTTGCATCGTTTGTGGGTGGACCTGCCAAGTATTGGGGAAACGGCGTCTCACCATGCGAGCAGCCGTGCGCGGGCAAACAGACTGCAAATTTCCGAGTCGATGCAGCCAAGAAATCCAATACTCAGGTCTTGCATGGAGCACAGCACGGTGAAAGGGGTTACGACGGATACGAGCAACACGGAAGGCCTCACCCACATTAGTGGTCAGTATCGGTACGATTTCCCTGGAGGTGCCTGCACTCACCGTTTCTATTTCACTCTATTTCCCATTCCCACGACAAACTTGATGCATGAGGCACCCATGGATTTGCAGCATCGCGGAGGGCATGATCTGCCAGCCGCGTTGGTTAAGGATTTGCCGTGTGCGGAGGATACGTTGCTGGTGGCAGTTGAACACAAAGCAAAGCAGAACTGCACATGAGCTGCATTGCCCGTGCGAAGTCCAATAATCGGTTATCCCTCGATTGGAAAAAGGTGGAGCTGATGCTAGTTCGGTGCGAAGTCTTGATTCTCAGGATTTGCCAGGCCTGATGGCAACCCTGTCCTGTGTCAAGTTTCCATGGAGTATTTGGGACGTGCTTTGTCAGCTTCAGGTGACATCACGACTGAGCTAAATCGTTGGTTGGGCACTGCACTGGAACGGGTTTGGAAACACTCAACCTTTTCAGTGGGGAATGACGCTGCTTTACACAGCCCGACTGAGAAGATTGGGTGCTTTGCAAGCTGGTTGTCAGCGCAATTTTTTTGGCATTTACCTCATGACCACACAAATTTGGGCCCATGCAGTCGGCCACATGCTGTCATGCAAAGATGTGTGTTAAACAACGCGAATGTTGAGCTAAGACAGATACAGGACAACCGCCGACGCGGACACCCCAGGCGATGCTGGCCAACTGAATTGTCAAGAAATTTGCTGGTGACCTTGATTCCCTTGATCGGCCGTGGAAGCAGCGCGTTGTGCACTATTGTTTTCGGTGACTGGCATTTGTTACCTTTCATATCCTTTCATTGCCCATGTGGAAAACGAGGCTTTTTGACCAGCTCGCTCACTCAGTGCCCCAGCCTCTGTTGCCCGAGCTCCAGCAGGTGCATGACAGCTGCATGCAACCGAAGCGCATAGCCATCAGACGGCGGGACTGCGAATGGATCGATCCCTGCCCTAAATCTTCCTTACCCGTCCTACGAAAGATTACACGTTTAAAGACAGGGATGAAGGGCCCATTTATACAAAAAGCCATCTATAACACCGTCGCGACAGCGCCGAAGGCAGTAAGCTTGCCGAGCTCAGCCGGCTCTCCATCGTGTTTGCCGCCTCCTTTGCGACCCCTTTGTGCCTCGCTTGTGAGCTTCTTGCGGGCGGCCACGCTCAGCAGGCGGACGCGCGCCAGCACTGAAAATTAAAATCATCAATCAAGAACTCAAGGCTCCAGCATTGTTTCCTGAGATTTCCTGAGCCACCTGGCGGCGGTGCCCCCAGTTGCGCACGTAGTCCGGGTGACCGAGAGGCCCTTGCAAAGCGCAATCGTCTGCCATGGCCGTGGAAAGCAAAAGGATGCCACGGGTCGGGCGCCGCCGAGCGAGGACAACAGACGTCCGAGTCTTATGTTTATCGAGGAACGTGCCGTGCAGAGTCGCCGGCATCCTCATGTGAATGCCGCGCTGCTCTTGGACCCCCGCCGTGGCAATGCCGTGGCGAAGGTTGAAACGCACCTCATGCAAGCTCTTCGCTGTGGCAACCTTCCAACCTTCCACGTGCCATTTGTCGTGACAAGCCCCCTGCTGCTTCCAACCACGCGTCCAAGACGCCACGCCCCGAAGCTGCTTGTTAGCGCTATGGTCGTGTTAACTACTTTGTGCAGGACTCCGCTGTACTGGGTACTGTGTGGTAATGGCGAGCCTACTTGCTTGTTTTGCCATGAAGTCGGCGCTACACGCCTGGCATCCGTCCCCGATCTTGAGCTCAGCGCATGCTGGAAGAAGCAACTAGTTTCAGACAGGGTCGGCGCTCGTGTCTTGACATGTATTTTCCAACAATCTGGAATTGAGCAGGTGGAAAACATCCCCCGTGTCGTTGCTGACCATCCGGCTTGCGCAGTGCTGTCGTTCTGGCTCTGCATGTAAGCTAATACAGCAACCGCATCTCTAGGGCGACTTCTTGCGCAGGCCGGCGCCGACATCGTGTCAGGTGTGGTTGACCTCTTCAAATCTTTGCTGTTGCTAGGACTGTGTTTTCACCAGTCTGCACAAGTTCATGAAAACGATGTGTGACGTGTGACGCAACGAGTCCTGCCATTAGCACCCAAGTTGGGTCAGCGCATGTCACCGCCCCACACAATAAACGAGGCAAAGTAATGACTTCTGCAGATCTGGCCAACGCTGGAAGCCGATTGGTGGTTCTAAGTGTGCATGCCTCACGCCACTATCCCCGGTGCGCAATGTGTGCCATGGCCCTTTCAGCGCTATGCCCTTGTTTCGAGATTTTGCCGTGTGGGACGTGTCTGGCTGGCTGCACTGGCTTCGCCACCCTTCCAGCAAACGCGCTTGGCATTTTGCCACTGCCAACTTGTCATACTTGTCTCGTGACAAGGTCTTTTTGTCGGTCCCCCCTCAACGATGCCGACAACCACAACAACAAGCGGCAGTGGCAACGGCAACAGCAGCCTGAGGACCATAACAACGGCGACGGCGACGAAGACAAGATGGAGGACGATGAGGACAACGATGACGAGCCTTGCCTGCTGGACGACGACAATCATCTTGAAGCTTCCACTTGCCACCACCCTTGCTCCATTTTCTTTAGTATTGGTATGGCCAAGTACTGCCATGACTACCAGAACAATCCGAAACAGCTATACCACACCCCAGCCAGCCCTCGGCACCCAAAGCGCTCATTGGTGCAGAGCTGAAGGCATTTAGCGGCTCAAAATTGCACAGTCCTTCCTGCGAAGGAATGCGCTGGAAATGTGCAACAGGATTTGCAGCTTGGGGTCGGTGCATCGTGAACTTGGTGAGGGCGTGCGTTTGTAGGCTTGGTGCGAAGCAGCAATGTGGGCTCAAAAAGGAGACACCCGCAACTCAAACGAGAGGACCTCATTTATAGTGGCGACGGCACGATTATCTACACCTCTTACACAGTGACAGCTGCGGCAAGAACAACCCCAAATAAGTCTTGCTATCTTCGGTTGTGCGGAAATGGGACTGCGGATGGCATGGGCGAGATATGCTGCGGTGGAAGCAGCTGTGTGGGCTCCACGAATGAGACCCTTGAGCCACGTAATCGCTACTCCATAGATTACCGTAAACAATGGTAAACGGGAGACAGAGTTGAGCTGACCGAGCTGTCCGTACTTTCACTTGGCCTCCCCCTGCAGCTTCTCGAGTTTCTCGCTTTGCCTGGAAGTTGCTCAAGAAGATCACTTTCAAACAATCTTCGCTACCTCCGATGTTTATCGTGTGGAATCCAGATTGCCCAAACCCCTCGCAGCTAGGACAGCTAAGACTTGCAAGTAATCGCAGAGAACACGGCCACCAACTTACATGTGGGGATTAAAACACCTTATACAAGGGGACGAAAGTTTCCGTCAACATCTGGAAGCTGCGCCTACAAGCCAACCTTCGCATCTTCCAGAATATGTACAGAAGCTTGGACGCGCATGCAGCCGTAGAACTTAGACGTGGAGTTCCCCCGCATGCGGCCATGAAGGGTCTGGAACAAGTAAACTGTTCACGGTAGACTTTGGCCTCCCCACTCTTCTCTAGCTTTGCCAAACACACACTCGCTGAGCCAGGAAAATGCGGATGTACTTTGCCTGTCCCCGCACCAAAGCAGGGCCTCACGGAAGGAACGGCAGCGGCTGGATGGTTCCCGTGCGCTTGCGCTGCCAGACCTTGCTCTCTAATTACAGATGACATGGCAAATCCATGTAGCATGCATCAGCCCCAAGCCCACAAACCTGTGCATATGAATTCGGCCTGCCCGAAAATGAATGGACGTGGTCGACGGAATCTAGGGCCTTTACCTTGAAATGTCCGTGATGTGGGTGTAGTTGCTTTCAGACCTGGCAAGACTTCAAGATTCCAAGGCCAACTTCGAAAACTACTCAGGCTTTCATTTCCACTAAGTCTGGACAAGTGGCCCTGCGTTAAACGAGCAATGAAATATTCGGTGAGATGCTATGAGGTCTGCCGCAAGGATTCCTCTCTCGCGGCACAATTCTCAAAGCCTTTTTTAGCAACCCGCAATCAGATATCACGAGATTCTCAGCCATGCATACTTTTGATCCTATGCCTTTGCGGTATGTGTGTACCACCCGATGGCCGTCGGTTCCGCACTTTCCGGCTTTTAACAGCATCAGGGAGTGCGATTCGAGGCGCCCGCCGGGTTCAGAAGCAAACCTCTACGAGCCCTTTCGCCAGTGCCCTTGCAATATTGAGCTAAGCTACCGGCCGCATCAGATATACCCCTCTGTCTGGGTCAGCCAGCGCAGCATGAAACGTGACAAATCAGGCTTTGCGTTGACTGCCTGGCGCATGTTGTTCAAACGACAGGTTTTGATTTGATATGTTTGAGAGGCCCCTGTTCATGAGTATTGTGGGATCATCATCTGATCTCTGGCCTGATGATGATGATGATGAAGATGATGGTTCTTGCATGTTCTTGCCGCATATTGAACAAGGGCAGGGCATGGCGCCAATCGCCTGTGGCCTGTGGGTGTGGCCAGATTCTCTTCTAGCCGCTGACGTGACGAAGGGTGCTGGATTTGCAGCCCGATTTTTCAGGCGCTGTCCCTCTTTCCTATTCAGTCTGCACTTGCGATTCCACGCATCTATCTCAATTTTTCACGTAGCCGCTTCATGCAACAAGGTACGCCCCATGCTGGCACCAGACTTTGAAACTGCTGACAGTGCTTGGGACAGTGCCTGGGAATCCGATCACCAACATCGGGCTTTACTACGACAGTACTCGCCACATTGCCGGCCGTGCACGGGATGCGGGCTTTGCTGCCGTTAAGGTCTCCGATGTTCAAGAAAACTTTTAGGACTGCACTACATTTTGAGGCCACGCCTGTTCCAAAATGCCTGGTTCTCACTGCAGCGAAACAACTAGCCGCCAAGGCGGATGCAAAGCATTCGTCCATGGCAAGTCCATGGATCACACCAGACTGGGTTTGGTCTGGAAAGCATGGAGCAACTATCAGACCACCAGTTGATACCTCTTAGGGTTGGTTCCGGAACTTTGAATGATCTTGTTCCGTACACCAACAAACTTGACTCGCGACAGCTGGTAAGGGTAGCAACTTCAAGAAGCAAAGGTAGCACCTGCCAGTGCCGGCCAGTCTTGCCTCTACCTGGCTCAGGATCTGCCACTATATCTCTCGATGTGCTAGCGCAGCGAAGCCCCGCCCTGCGATGAAGGCGGCCAAAGTTGGATGCTGAAGCACGGCCGCTTGCCAGAAAGAGCTGGACTTCATCCTGAACTCGGCCGGGCTCATGGCACGGCACACATCTCGAAGAACATGAACTTTGCTCAACTTGTCATTTTCATTAGATTAGCCAAAACGATTTACGCCAACCAGCTTGCAAACTACAAACATGGAGCCGCAGTACAAGGTCAGCAAACAATAGTTTTAGGTTGATGGGGGTGCCAAGGGTCTACCGGGATCTTCTCAAAATTTGGATCTCAAAGCTTGTAGCTGTCCTCTACAGCAGCTGGCCGTGGGGAGGGCAGGCCTGGCGTCGACGCCAAAACAAGCATCTTAAAAGCAGCCCATGTCACATTCTTGCATGCGTCAGAAAGGCGGAGATTGTTTTTTTGCGAAGGTGCTGCTCGTTTTTTCGTTTTGCAAAGGCGTGGCTCATTCCTTTTTGGTCTTGGGACGCTTGAAATGCTGTAAAATCACAGCGTTTGCTGCTCTTCCAATATTTCAAATGTTGTCAACTACAGCATTTGCTAGTCTTGGAACGTCTCAAACGCTATAAATTACAGCGTCTGGTCCCATGGTCCCTGGTCTTCTGATCCGGTGGTCTTGTGGTCTTCTGGTCCTCTGGTCTGGTAGTCCTGTGGTCTCGTGTTTTTTGGACTCGTGGTCAGGTGGTCCCCATCATCAGATCATCTTGCATTTGCAAATCGGGCATAGGCATGAAGCAAAATATCTTAAATTTTGTTCAGCAGCAAAGAGAAAATATGTTAAGCATCCAAACATGCTAAAAGAGCTGCGAAAAAGCGAATGTAAACGTCCGCTCCCAGTCCTAGGTACTTCCAGGCCTTTGGTCCCATGGTCTTATGGTCAATGGTCCTCTGGTCATGTGGTCCTCTGGGCTTGTGGTCCTCTGGGCTTGTGGTCCT